GCCAAAAAGTAATCATACATTAAGTTTGATTCCGAGCCAACTTTATTTAGCAGACAGTTCTAATCTAGAGTTTTGAGAATAGACACCTCAATGGTCACGTATATAATCAAATAACTGAGCAGAGTTTTGACAGTTACCATCGGCTTATTTGGGCAATGATAACAATTAAAAAACATGGCACCAAACAGTACATCAACTACTCATATCACTTTGTCCAACCACGAAAACTGGGAGCATACCTCTTTAGGTCATACCAAATTGGAGATAGATGAGTAAACTTGGAGTTGAACCATTTGGCCATATCATAGCCCTTAGAATTCCTGTATAATTTGACATGTGAGAAGGAGTTCGCAAAAATTTCAAGCTAATTAATGCAAATACGTCTAATATGATTATATGAGCAACCAACCAATACAAATTACTAACCTAGGTATTATAGAACAACAAACTTTACATAATCACATTAGATCCACCAAGCTACGTTAAACCAAAAGGACCGGCACTTTGTAGTTTGTATCAAAGAGAGACTAATGGATCAGTTCAAACTCTACTACTTTCTTTACTATGATTCCGAGTGTATTTCGTTACCAAATGAATTCCTCAAATTTTACATATACTTCAATTCCAAGTAATTTTTTTTCTCATATTTGAAACGTTAACTGAAATTCTCGTTGTATTTCATTCCAATCCAAACAGCTTGTTAGAAAATAATACAATCCCATAAATTATTATATAGCCAAACAGACTGAAAGACATGGCATACCATGGAGTAATGTAGGCCAATACAGGATATGCAAAGTGCCTGCCACTCGTATTTTCGGAAACCTTTCCATTTTCCTGAATTTTTCAAACCACATTATCAATAAGAACACTGTAAGATCATAAATTTTCTGTTTGGCAGCTGAGAAAAAGTTTGAATCGAAGCCAAAAATAATTATAAACACTAAGGTTTCGTATCATTTCGTGCATTTCTTGACTAATAACAGCTAAAATGCAGTAAACGATAACTTCAATTCGTCTTAATTTTTCCCGCATTTTCTCGGCAATCAAACAGACAAATTGCAGAAATCAGTAGGGAGGGTACTTGCAGTGAGGATCTCCTGGTAATTCACATCAGGTTTCACGATTCCTCGCTCGTAGACGGCGTAATCCGTCGGGTTCGCCGTCGGAGCATATTTGATGCGGTAGGCGAGCATGGCGGTTGCTACAGCTACGCAGAAGAAGAGGACGAAGGTGACTATGTGCTGCCGGTTTGCGTCGCGGAGTTGTCCCGAAGGTTCTACTCGGTCTTCGCCGCGGTTCGAACTCGGTGCGACTCGGCGCTCTCTTTTCTTGGCCATTTTTGAGTCGGAAGGCCCAGAAAGTTCAACGGACGTTTACAGAAGCACGAGCAAGAAAGATGGTTTGTAGACGATAAATGACATGTCGTTGTTCATGCGGCTGTGTGTAGGTACAATAAAACGCCCTGTCGTTGGAGTTCAATCCATCCTCGTTGATGATTCGTAGAATTACAAACTAAATTAACAAACGAACAAAGTAATGTTGTTATATATAAATCAATGATCACCATTATTGGATGTGTCATTATTAAAAGTAGGGTGGATAACAGCTCAGCTGCTGTTGGTGTTTAGCTGTTGCTTTCGGTCCTCCATCATCTATTGTTTTTATCCATTGCTTTCGGCCCTTCTTCACTGTAAAGCTAAAGTTAGATAATAGATTAAGATTAGTGGGATTGGAGGTCATCATTATGTTGGCTTAGCTGCCATGGTCCTCCTTTCTTCTTCACGTTTTTCTTCTCCCATATATGTTGCATCGTGTAATGTTTTTCAGATATGAAATATACATCAAACATTCAACATGGTATCAGAGCGGGCATCATCCTGAGCCAGTTCTGTATATCGAACCTGCTGTGTTTATTTTTCAAAAACAATGGCAGATGGAAGTATCATTGCTTCTTCATCTGGAAGCGCTTCTGAAATGGATATCAATCCAAACCAACGACTCAGTTCAGTATTATTGAATGAGTTTAATTATTTGCCATGGGCAAGGGCTGTTAGTCTTGCTCTCGGTGGAAGATCCAAACTCGATTTCATCAATGGCAGTCAACCTGCACCAGATGCTTCTTCTCCAGAATATGGAGGGTGGCTATGTAAAGATCAACTGGTCATGTCATGGTTGTTAAATTCTATGGAAAGGAATATTGCTGAAATCTTCAGCTATTCCGAGTCGTCTCTCATCCTTTGGACCACCGTGAAGGAGATGTATGGAAATCAAAACAATGCAGCTCGCATCTTTCAACTCAAGAAGGATATCTCCAACATACAGCAAGAAGGTAAAAGCTTTGTTCAACATCTTGGTTCTTTGAGAAGCATGTGGAATGAGTTAGATGTGTACAGACCTCACACAACTGATCTCTCTGTGCTCCTTAAAAGAACTGAAGAAGATAAAAATTTTCAATTATTGTCTAGCTTGAGCTCAGAATATGAGGATTTGAGAAGTCACATTCTCATGAACTCGGAGCTACCATCCTTCACTAGTATCTGTGCAACTATCCAACGTGAGGAAGTAAGGAGAAAAGTCATGAACAATGGTATAAAAACCAACGTGACAGAAGCTAGGGCTTACCTGACAAATGAAAAAAGATATAAAGGAAAAAACCCTCATTTAAAGTGCCTACATTGTGACAACATCGGGCATGTGAGAGACAAGTGCTGGATCCTACATCCAGAACTCAAACCTGACTTCATGAAGGATAAATCCGCACCAAAGACAAGTCGAGCACACCCTCGTGCCAACACTGCAACATCTTCATCTATCAACAATGTTGATACCTATCAACAGTTCACTACAAATCCTGCCATCCTTTTAAATGAGTTCGCAGCGTATCTCCAACAAAAGAAGGGAAAAGAGGATGGATCGGTTGATCATGAAGATGGAAGTACTACTGCATTGATGGGCAAATTTGCAGGTTTTTTAGCTGATGCTGATTATGTACCTCAGACAGACTTGAAAGGTATCGTAACTGCTTTCCAAACTGCTCTTAAAATAAATGAGTTACATGATTTTTAGGTTGTAGATTCTGGTGCCACAGACCATATGACTAATCAAATGTCAAAGTTACATAGATTTGAGAAACTACATAATCCTTCACATGTATCTGTTGCTAATGGTGAAGGTGCTAGGATTGTAGGAAAGGGAAAAATCCACCTGATATCTGATCAAATAGAGTCTATGGCCCTATATGTTCCATCATTTCCATTTTAACTTCTCTCAGTGGGAAGAATCACAAATTCCTTAAATTGTTTGGCCATTTTTTCACCAAAAACTGTCATTTTTCAGGATTGTATAACCAAGAGGACGATTGGTGAGGGGTTTTACCTTGATGGTCTCTATTACATATCAAAAAGCTCTTCCTGTGGGTTCCATGCCAAGTCAAAGTCCATCCATACCTCCATTCAAGCTTCCACCTTGTGACACCAACGACTAGCTCATCCATCTCAACCTATCTTATCCACCTTATTTCCTGACTTAGGCAAAGAATCAACCCACTGTGAAACTTGTCATTTGTCAAAGGCAACAAGACTACCTCTAGGGTCTTCGATGTCTAGAGTTTCTCATCTTTTTGAACTTGTACACTCTGATATATGGGGACCAACAAATGAATCTTTTGATGGTTATAAATATTTCATAACTTTTGTTGATGATTATTCAAGAACCACCTGGTTATATTTGTTAAAATCAAAAAGTGAGGTGATGGAAGTGTTTAAGGACTTTCACAACCTTGTCAAAAATCATTTTTCTTCTCAAATCAAAACCCTAAGGTCTGATAATGGCACAGAATACATGTCCCAAGTCATGACTCAATATTTGAGCAACAATGGCATCATACATCAAACTAGCTGTGTTGGCACACCTCAACAAAATGGTGTTGCCGAGAGAAAAAACCGAGATCTCCTTGAAAAAACTAGGGCATTGATGTTACAAATGAATGTACCAAAACGTTTTTGGTCTCAAAGCGTCATGACAGCAGCTTACCTGATCAACAGATTACCTAGTAGGGTTTTGGGGTTCAAATCCCCAATGGAGATAGTCAAGAACAGAAAGGTGGACTTGTCTCACCTTAAAGTCTTTGGATGCATCTGTTTTGTTCATATTCAGTCATTACATCGAGACAAACTTGATCCTAGGGCAACTAAATGCATTTTCCTTGGCTACTCGTCCACACAAAAAGGGTATAAGTGTTATAATCCACAACTTAAGAGATTAATTGTTTCAAAGGATGTTCAATTTCATGAAACTAACTCTTATTACAGTAAGTCTCTGGATAGTACAAGTCAGGGGGAGATTATCTTGGACATGTTTCCACTGCCAAGGACTAAGATACTCAACAATGCGGGTGATCAAACTCACACAATGGATCTTGTGGCTCCAAATCAACCGGATTCATATGACGACAGCAACATGCCTGTAGAAGATGAAACTCTACGTAGTATTGGTCCTGAAGAACCTTCAGAAGAGTCTCTTCCTACCATACCTCGACGAAATCCAACTCGTGAGAGGCACCCACCAGCAAGACTGCAAGACTTTATTACGTACAAGCTCAAGCACCCCTTATCCAACTACTGTTCTTATCAAAAGTTGTCACACAATTACACTGCCTATTTGAGTAATATATCTGCGCATGAAGAGCCTCAATCATTTCAAGAAGCTAACCAATCCCAAGTGTGGCAGCAAGCAATGCAGGATGAACTGCATGTACTCGATCAACATAAAACCTGGAGCATTGTGCCACTGCCCAAAGGAAAGAAGATAGTAGGCTGCAGGTGGATATACAAGATTAAATTCAACTCGGATGGGTCTATTGAAAGACACAAGGCACGATTAATGGCCCGTGGCTTCACTCAAACATTTGATGTGGATTACAAGGAAACCTTTGCCCCCATTGCAAAGATGAACACAGTGCGCGTACTCTTGTCTGTGAGCTTGAAGAAGACGTCTACATGAGATTACCACCGGGTCACTCTCAAAGTCATAAACAGGATGTTGTGTGTAAACTGCACAAATCAATTTATGGTCTTAAACAATCACCGAGAGCCTGGTATGCTAAGCTCAGTTCAGTCCTTATCAATGTTGGTTTTGGAAGAAGCAATGCGGACTCCTCTTTATTTGTACGCTCAGGCACCGCTGGTACATTGGTTGTTCTTGTGTATGTTGATGACTTGATCATCACCGGAGATAACCCTGAAGAAATCAAAGAACTCAAGCACTCCCTTCAGCAACGCTTTGCAATAAAAGATCTTGGTGTTCTGAGATACTTCCTTGGCATCGAAATGGCTACATCTCACACGGGCTTCTTCCTTAACCAGCGCAAATATGTTCTGGATCTCCTTAAGGAAGCAAACATGAGTGATGCTAAACCGGTCCCTACACCTCTTGACATTAAACTTAAGGTCAGCTTAGAGGGTCAATCTCTTCCAAACATAAGTTATTATCAGCGGTTGGTTGGTAAGTTGATATACCTGACCATCACAAGGCCCGACATTACCTATGCTGTCAGTATTGTTAGCCAATTTATGCACTCTCCCACGATTGAGCACTTTAACCTAGTCAAAAGGATACTTCGGTATCTAAAAGGTTCTGTGGGACGTGGTATAATCATGAAGAAAAATGCAAGCACTCAGATTACAGGTTATTGTGATGCAGATTGGGCTGGCAATTCCATTGATCGTAAGTCTACAACGGGATTTTGCACGTTTGTGGGAGGCAACCTTGTCTCATGGAAAAGCAAAAAACAAACTGTCGTTGCAAGATCCAGTGCTGAGGCAGAATATCAGGCAATGGCATTTACTGCGTGTGAACTAATCTGGCTCAAAGGTTTACTGTGTGACTTAGGTGTTTTCAATCATCAATCCATGTCCCTTTTCTGTGACAATTAGGCTGCAATGCACATTACTTCCAACCCAGTTTTTCATGAGAGAACCAAGCACATTGAAGTCGATTGTCACTATGTTCGTACACAAGTTCAATCTCAGGTTATCCAAACGCATTTTGTAAGGAGCTCGGATCAACTTGCGGACCTATTCACAAAATCATTGGCCTCTCATCAGTTTCAGCTTCTTCTTGGCAAGCTTGGATCTATCAACCTTTTGGATCCAGCTTGAGGGGGAGTATTGGATGTGTCATTATTAAAAGTAGGGTGGATAACAGCTCAGCTGCTGTTGGTGTTTAGCTGTTGCTTTCGGTCCTCCATCATCTATTGTTTTTATCCATTGCTTTCGGCCCTTCTTCACTGTAAAGCTAAAGTTAGATAATAGATTAAGATTAGTGGGATTGGAGGTCATCATTATGTTGGCTTAGCTGCCATGGTCCTCCTTTCTTCTTCACGTTTTTCTTCTCCCATATATGTTGCATCGTGTAATGTTTTTCAGATATGAAATATACATCAAACATTCAACAACCATCTTCTACAAGATTCAAGAAGAAGGGAGAGGCTCCCCAACCTTTACAAAATACAAACTACTTCAAAGTAACAAGGCTAACCAAGAGTTTCAACTCTTTTAACACTTTTTTTCTCTAAGTTAAACCAAAAAATGTTCTCACTATCTATCTCGAAAAGAAGTATGTCGCCGTCCTTGGATAACACTAAAGGTGTGAAACGGTCAAAGTAATCAATGTGTCGTGCACGGACTTCTCAAGAGAAGAAAGCAAGGTCCAAGATTCTGTCACTCCATATTCCTTTATAATCCAAACATCATATGGAAGGACTTCACCGTGGCAAATACATAAATAGTCTCCCAATGAACTTAAGAGAATTTGCAAGATATTTCTCATCGAGGGGGATTAAAAACTCACGATATATATTTCCATGTCTTTCCCTTGCTATATGCCTTCAAATTCCAATTGGTGTATTGGAACTCTATTTTGGTAGAAAGGGACAGGTTTTGAAGAATGCTTTATTTGCTACTCTTCAACCAAAAGTTTATCATATTCAGCGGCTACATTCACCAATTCTTGTAGTTCAGTGAACTGTACATCATAGAACTTCTTCCTTAGAGGTAACCTCAAAGCTTTTTAAGCAATGGCTATGAGCTACCCATGGTTTATAGGAAATTGGCACCTCATTCTAATCTTCCTGAATCTCATCATGAAGTCTTTTGTGGACTTATGTTCATACCGTTTGACTTCCGCCATGTCATTGATAATTACTTTAGGTTCCACCCTGTAAAATTGCTCATGAAAAGCCATCTTCATTTGCTCCCAGTTGGCAATGGAGTTAGGAGGTAGGAGAGAATACCATTGCGAAGTCAGCCCAACTAAAGAATCCCCAAACAACCTCAGCTTGTAGCTGCTAGCTTTTGTTCATCAATGTATGCAAGGTAAGGGTTTTGGTAGGTCACCCTAAACATCGAGTGGGCTTGTGGCCTAGCATTCTGCATTATTAGTCTCTTTAAGTCAGCTATCTCATTCCTGAGTTGCTTGTTTACCACATTACTTGGCAAGGATGGAGATATTCCTTACTTCAGGCTATTTTCAAAGTAAATGGGCATCTCAAGCACTGCATCGGGCTATCCCACCTCTCATTTTATTGACCATAGGTGGAGGCCTATAAGGAAGTGGTTTAGTGACTATTGTGGGCATATTATTTCCACTGGCTCCTCCATTTGAACTGGATGTTAAGGCATTAGTTCCATTTTGCTCGATTGTGTTTCTTGACATGCTTGTGACTAGGACTACCTCGGGCCAATTCACCCATGTAGGCCCCTTCTCCTTTGAGATCGGATTGTTGAGCAAATTGTACGAGAACAAATAATTCACTCGACAAAAATTCACCCTCGTTCCTTTTTCTAATATGGAGTCATTTAGAAGAGCCACCACATTAGCTCTAGTTGAAGACGTGGGACTTTGGGATTTTTTTGAAGCCAACCACCTCTTAAGTCTCAGAACGTGGTTTGATCCCACCATCCCCTATTTTTTTATTTTTTTTGGACCTGTAAAGCACTTTTTCACGTTTTTTTGTAGGGTTGAGTATTTATTTTCTTTATGAAAATAGATGGTTCAACAGTTGCCCCCTCAAGCATCATGTATAAGAAATTTTCGCATGCATGAGCCTTGATAATTTTTGTGGGCTTGGACTGATGTATTGCGCCTTTCTTTTGCAGATATGAGTCTGCACGGGCATTCGTTTGTTAAGCAAGCTTTTGACAAGAGAGAAAGAGCATTTTCTAAGGGCCAAACGTAAGACTGATATCTTCCATTAGACTTTATCAAGCTCGTTGTCCCTATGGAAAGCAGAGTTAGGTGGCGGACGTATGCCAAATGAATTCCAATTTTTTTGAGTTTTTTTCCCCAGATGATGGAGTTATCAAAGCTTGTAGGGTTCAAGCAAAAAGTTTCACGCCTGGTCACTGATGGATGTTAACCACAATGAGCATGGTGATACTGAAAAGAGACACAAAACCCTTGTCCCCCTCGGGCTTTTTATCTATGAAGACTTGCATAGCAAACTCCTTTTGCAATTTGATTTCACTATGAATGAGATATATTTACACATTCTTCTGACTAGGCAACAATTTACTTGCAATACTTTTGGTGGAAGGAATATGTTTTTGGTGATTCATGGCTGCATCTAATTTTTGGGTTAGATTGCCTACTACTGTAACATCCCAGATCGACCAATGAAGAGGGGGTGATGTGCTTTATATGTACATGCCCACCTCCATATAGCACGAGGCCTTTTGGGAATTCACTGGCTTCGAGTTCCATGGGAACTCCGTAGTTAAGCAAGTTCAGGCGAGAGCATTCCCAGGATGGGTGATCCACTGGGAAGTTCTCGTGTGAGTTCTCAGAAACAAAACCGTGAAAGCGTGGCCGGGGCCCAAAGCGGACAATGTCGTGCTACGACGAAGTCGAGACTGAGATGTGACAACTACCCCATTAAGGAATCAAGTCAAAAGCAGTTCATCCCTTGATTTTCAGGAATTTGATTTTTACTGCTGCACCTAGCTTTAATGCTAGGCTGCCTACATACCTTTTTGAAGGATTAAGCCATACTTAGTTCAGAGGAAATGATTTTTTCCTTTGCTTGCGTCCTCTATATATGCCTTCCTCTTAGAGTTCTTTAGGCACTATTTAGGCATAAAGCTTCTTCATAAGCTTTCCATTGATGCATGGGTATATGAATTTCCCATTGGCATGAGAGAGCTCATAGGCACATTTTGTGAAGACTTTAGTCCCAGTTAGCGTCGGAGTTCATCAATAGTAGCTTGCCCGTCTTTTATTTCAAGTGCCCCTGGTCGTGTGTTGTGGGTAAATTCAATTGATTCGTCACCATTATTGTTAGCCTTAGCAGCTAGCCATGCAATTAATGCTGCAATTTCGAGCATAGACTCGGCGTCTTCATTTTTGCTCTTCAACCATTTAGAGATGTTGTTCGAGGTAAATACCTTGTAACGAGACTCATGTAGTCTTACTCGAGTCATTGATTGCTTGATAGTTCCTATACATGGTCGTGGCTTGGCTTGGAGATCGAGGAATGCCCCCTGTGATTTTGAGCTAGCATGAAGTCCCATTACTTCACTTGAGATTTTGGAGATGCCATTGTATGTGGGCTTGAACTCTCATTGTTTCATTGTTGACATATTTTTCTGGATCCTTCTTCTTTAACTTAACATGATTTATCACTTTGGACTGCCATCATGGGTGATGTGTGTTAGCAACCTTGACTTTACCCTCAATATATCGTGCTTGCAATTGGGTATTTGAGACGGTATTATCTCTCTTAGTAAGTTGTTTGCACCTTGTGGTATTTTTTTTTCTTCTTTAAAAGAAGCCACCTTCACAAGCTCCGCAGTGATTAACGGGATTGGGGTTGAGCCAATCACAATTTTAGTTGTGGTGCAAGCTTTATCATTTGCAAGTGCGTTGGTCTTGATGACTCTGCAATTTTTGGCTTTCACAGCTTTGGTTGATGCAAGTGGAGCCTTAGCAGCTACAGTTGAGATGCTTTCAGTAGCTTCCACGAGAGCATCTTCACATATTTTCTTACTAAGTTCTTTTAGGAATTCGTTTCTTCGCATTTTTTGGGATCTTTGATGGATTCTTCTTCTACATAGGCTTCACGAATTTGACAGCTGCCTTGCTGGCTTCAACTCCAGGAGTTGGCTTTTGGACATTGAGTGAGATTGGTGCTTAATCAAGGATAAATGACATTCGATATCCAGCTAGATTTGCACGTCTAGCCTTGAAATGAGTTGTGAGAAGCTCACAGAAGTAAATAAGGACTTGTGGTGCTGTCTCGTTTCCTATAAGAAAACATCTAGCGTACACAATTTCATTTATTCATAATTAGAGATGAAAAGATGAATGGATCCCACCAAACGTGCCAAAAATTATGTTGAGAAAAAATTGTTACGAGAACAAATAATTCACTCGACATGTTCACCTTGTTCATTTTTTTCAAAGCGGAGCCGTTTGGAAGAGCCAACACATTGGCTCTAGTTGAAGGCGTGGGACTTTGAGATTTTCTAGAAGCCAACCACCTCTTAAGTCTCAGAACGTGGTGGGATCACACCATCCCCTTGACCCGTAAAACACTTGTACACTTTTTTGGTGGGATCACACCATCTCCCCCTCCACACCCCCCCCCCTCTTTTTTTTTTTGACCCGTAAAACACTTGTACACTTTTTTTTGTTTTTTTTGTTTTTTTTTTTGTTAAGGTCCATTATTTATTTTCTTTGTGAAAATATATGGTTCAACACGGTCCATGGGTGATCACTGACTTTTCTAAGATCAAACCATAGATGTGATCACTGACTTTTCTAAGATCAAACCATAGATGATTACTAATTCTTCTTTGGCTTTTCCTCTTCTCCCTCTCTCATTGGTCAAAGGTGGAATAGTTGTTGCAATATCTTATTTCTCCAGACTCAATCACGG